TGAAGACCCATCTCCAGAGTTTCTGAGACTGAGAAATCGTAAAGACAAACTATGTTTCAATTTCATTTAAGGATACCATTAATGGATAATTTTCATAAGATTGGTTAAGAAGTACCCTTTAGGGTCTTTTTTTTTAAGTTCAAAACTCTTGGGCTTTTGGGGTGATAATAATAATTCTTACAGTCCATTTGTGAGGTTAATGAGCACACTCTTCATTTATGGTTGTACCCACACTTATAAAAATGCTAGAATAAAAGAATGGTTGCAAACTGTATGTTGGAATTAATTCAAACAGCTGTTTTAAGAATGGTCAGTGGTTTGAGTACATAGTGTCTTTATGCAGTACAAATGATTGTGGAAGCCTAACTGCACCAATCCCATGAGCAACACTATGCTATTAATGTTCTGTCCCATGCTCACTCATGGATCACCTAGTACTCTTTGACCATCACCTTCCCATTTGCTGTGGCATCAGACTTGAGTCAAAACCATGACACCTGAGGTCTAGGCTCCTTTGTAAGTTTCAGAGAAATTGCTGAGAATCCATTTTATCAGCAGTCTTGCCCATTTCCATCCTGGTGAGGTTCAATATACATGAAAGAAGTTATAGATAATATGGTAATTTCATTTCCCCAAGAGTTAACATAGTTTTAAAAATATTTGTATTTTTCTTGTCACATGAAAAATACCTCAGGGATGGAGGCTGCAAATCAGTATACTATCCTACCAGCTTGAGAAATAAGTCACCCTTCTATCTTATCCCTCTATTTATGATAATCAACAGATAATTTTGTCTTCAGGCAAGGATCTGTTCAGCATTTCAGAGAACTCAGAATGTCTTTCATCAAAGAAGGAAGAATGCTGTGGTCTGTTTTCTAAAATGATGTATGGCTCTTAGAGATGAGCTTTGGGTAACCAGCCTTTGGCCAGTGTACATCAACTTCTTTAATAAGTAGCATCATGCAGTAAGTGTCTGTTGACACAGAACACTGTATGTGTCAAGTGTCACCAAACCAGAAAGGCCTCATCTTCTCATTATCACTGCCCTTCTTCTCTTACAAATTTTACTTAAATCTGCCAATACAGAAATCAGAGAATTTTTTTTAAAGTTTACACAATCTAGAATGGGCTGGGGTTTGGATGTAGGCATCAGTATGCTTTTAAAGCTCCCCAAGGTGATTCCAATATGCAGCCAGAGCTGAGGACAACTGTCCTAAAGGAAAAAGAAAACCACTTTCATTTTTGGCTTCCGATAGCTTGACCAAGTGACTTAACAAATAATTTGATTATTTATCCCTCAAACACCTAGAATGCTGCTGAGCACACTGAAATTGCTAACCTAATATTTGTAGATAACCTTTACAAATGACTGTGAAAAGAGTTTAAAATTCTTCACATTAAGTTGATACTATTGCAACTCATTTCTCATTTAGTGAACTATTTGGGCAGAAAGGAAGGACAGTAATGACTGTCAAAAAAAAAAAAAAACTGAAAGAACTTGGCATGAAAAGTTGGGTGGTATGTTGACCACAACCACACAGAAATGAGTAATGAAAGCAGACAGGAAAGAAAAATGAAGCTGCACTGGGGGGCCCCAGCCAGCAAGTGTGCATGAGCTTTCCTTCCTGACATGTGGTTGCCTTTGGTGTATGGCTAATCCAGGAGGATGCCAGAAAAGCGTGAAAAGCCTTATAAATGTGTTTGCTGAACATCGTTGACAAGTGACTGGACTCTAGCTCTCCCGTCTGTCTCTGGCAGAGTTGCTGCCACCCTTCCAAGTCTGGGAGAGCAACTGCGTGATAAATCACTCTGTAGCCTGAAAAAAATCAAGAGGTTTTTTTGGTGTGTGTGTGTGTTTTTGTTTGTTTGTTTTTTATGGTGGAGTGTCTGTTGCCCTCCAGTGATGTCTGTGGGAGAGGGATAGGTCCCAATAAGTAGTCCTCCTCAGGGAATTAAGTAGTAGCTTTGGAAGAGTCCCCAGAAAAGCTAGGGGGACTGATATTGTTGCACTGAGCTGCAAATTTTACATATGAGATTACATTTAATGCTCACAGCAACTCTATGAGGTGGATATTTTATTGTCTATGTTTTGCCGATTCAGAACTTAAGGCTCTAAAAGTTTAACTCACACTTTGCAGATCATAGGGCTAGGAAGTGACAGACTGGGGGACTTAATGAAATCTGCTGTCTCCAAAGATGTGTCTTCCCTATAATAATGGTCTAAGTCACCCAAAGGTAATCAATCAGCTAAGTCTTCACTTAAGCCAATGAAATATTTGGGGTCACTATTCATATATATGCTCTTCTCCCTTATCCATGTGTATGGTCCCTTGAGCCATTGCCTAGATTATTTTAATCTCAAAAAGTAAGTCAGCCTACTATGTGACTGTGTGGTGGCACATAAGGTAGCAGCAGCACCTAGGAGCTTAGTAGTAATGCAGATTATCAAACCCCATTGCAAGCCAACTGAATCAGAAACTACATTTTAATGACATTTCTGAGGAATTCATTAAGTTTAAAAAGCACTCCCCTACACCATAGAATTATTTATCTGAAAGGGAATTTAAATTAGTGATTCTCAAATTTGTGTGAATTAGATTAACTTAGGGGAAGAGAGTTAAATGCAGATTCCCAGGTCCTTTGCCCAAGGCTTCTAATTTGGGAGCTGTGAGTGGGACCTGGACAATCTGCATCTTCTAAGAAGCAGCCCAGCTGATTCAGTGATAGGTGATCTAAAAACAAGACTATGATGAACAATGACTTAGGAATTTCAGCACCTATCACTCATTTTGATGAATCTGAGGTCAAGGAGGGGAGAGGGATGACTTAGGTTATGCAGTGGTTAGTGAAAGGACCAGGATGAAGACTGCGTCCTTGAAGCAGACTAAACTTACCAGATATGGCATTGTAGGACTTAGAGAAAGTGACCAACCCTCTACCACATTTATTCTTTGTGCTGCTTTAGAATTATTGATCCATTTACAGTTCATTTACTCCCAATGAGAAAGGAATACTCTGCACATGGTGATGGAGGAAGGAATGGGAGTCAATGGATCTTACGGGCCTTTTTTTCATAGACCTAGTATTTAAAGTTTGTTTTGTTTTTAATGAGCCAAGGGATTTATTTGGCAGAGGAGAGCTGAGGAGCAGAGAGACACAGTGAAATAGTACTTACACCTACATCTGTATGTGCTTTTATGTACACTATCTCATTTAATCCTAAAATAGTCCTGTGAGTTACCATTTTACAGCTAGTAAACTAGTCAGGAATGGAATCCAGCCTTTTGGCCTCAGGGATCTCTCTGTTGTATGATTACCACTTTCTGAGGAAAGTTAGAAATTCCACCTTGAAACTGTAAGCAGTTGGTGGACCAGAGTTTCTAAACCCAAAAGAACCAATTATAATCATGATTAGATCATAGTTTTAATTTTGTTATCTTGGCTATGGAATTCAATATCATCTCCAGCCCTTTACTATATCCCTTAGTAAGAAACGGGAGCAAGAGAAAAAAACATCTGTGGAGTGCTTTTATTCAGGAATTATACTCTTCTTTTGGAAGATGGAATGACATAGTAGGAAAAGCATAATTTGTGGTTCAAATAATACCTCCTCCATTTATTAGCTGTATGAAACTGGTAAAATTTCCTAACATCTCTGAACAATGTTTTTCTCATCTATAAATTGTGTCATGATGAGAATCACAAAGATAATGTCAGTATGTAGTTTGTTACAATGCTTGGGATCTAGTAAGTATTCAATGCCTATAAATCATGGCTGAAATAGAGTGAGGAACACATTTATTTTGGTCAGTATTTTTGACCCCAGATAATCTGAATGAAACTTTTCTTTCTTTAGCTCTACTCTTTCTTCAAAATTCTCTATCTCAAGGAACTAGAAAACAAGAACAAACTAAACCCAAAGCTAGAAAGAAAAAAAAAAGCTAAAATCATAATTGAACAAGCAAAAATCAAACAACTCCATTAAAAAGCAGGCAAAAGACATGAACAGACACTTCTTACAAGAAGACAGACAAGTAACCAATAAACATGAAAAAATTCTCAACATCAGTAATCATAAATTCTCTATCTCAAAAAACTAGAAAACAAGAACCAATTAAACCCAAAGCTAGCAGAAAAAACAGCTAAAATTATAACTGAATAAACAAAAATCAAACAACCCCATTTAAAAGGCAAGACATGAACAGACAGTTCTTAAAAGAAGATAGACAATTGGCCAATAAACATGAAAAAATTCTCAACATCAGTAATTGAAAGAGAAATGTAAATCAAAACTATAATGAGATACCATCTTACACCAGTAGAATGGCTATTATTAAAGTCAGAAATCAACAAATGTTGGCAAGGCTGTGGAGAATAAAGAACACTTACACACTGTTGGTGGGAATGTAAATTAGTTCAGCCACTGTGCAAAGAAATTTAGAGGTTCCTCAAATAACTTAAAACAGAACTATCATTCAACTTAGCAACCCCATTATTGGGTTTATACACAAAATAAAATAAATCATTCTACAAAAAAAGACACATGCAGTTGTATGTTTATTACAGCACTATTCACAATAGCAAGGATATGGAATCAATCTACATGCCCCTCAACGGTAGACTGAATAAAGAAAATATAGTTCACATACACCATGGAATACTATGCAGCCATAAAAAAGAACAAAATAATGTCCTTTGCAGTAACATAGATGAAGCAAAGAGTGCATTATCCTAAGAGAATTAACACAGGATCACAAAACCAAAGATTGCATGTTCTCACTTATAAGTGAGGTCTACAATAGACACTGGGGACTACTAGACTGCTGGGGTAGGGAAAGGGGCAACTGTGGAGCAACTTACTATCAGGAACTATGTTCAGTATGTGGGTGACAGGATTCAGTCATACCCCAAACCTCAGCATCACACAACATACCCAGGTAACAAACTCATACATCTACCTTCTAAACCAAAAATAAAAGTTGAAATTACTGGTTTTTTTAAACTGGTAATCAATTTATTAAAATAACTGACTTAAGCATCTGCAATGGTGACTTCCACCTCAACTCCTGGCTCAATACTGATGGAAGTAATCTGCTTAACAATCTCAGAAGGACTGTGCAAGTCAATGAGTCGCTTGTGGATTCTCATTTGGAAAGGATCCCATGTTTTAGAACCTTCACCACAAGGTGTTTTTCTTGTAGTGATTCTCAAAGTCTTCGTAGGCATTTGAACTGGTCCTTCACTTTCAGATTCTTTTCCTTAGCTCCTCTGATCAAGTCAGCACACACCTTCTCCAGCGATTTTACGCTGCAGCTTGTTAGAGTGTTTCAAAGTCGGTGAATTGCCACCTCCGGCTCCACGGGTGTTTTTCCTTAAAAACCATGGCTGGTGTGCGGCTTCCTGACCGACTTGTGAACAGCAGTGAGTCAGGGGCAGGAGCGTGTGGACTAACGATCCACAACAGCTACGACCGCGTCTTCCTCAAAGAGTGAAATTACTTTTAAAAGATTCTTTATCTCAATTAAGTAGCCTCACCAACTACCTACATTAAGCCAAACTAATAACCTTGTGCTTATTCTTATTTTCCCCATCTTTGACCACCTATTTGAATCAGTGTTCAAGCTGAGCTTTGAAACTCATAAATCTGAAGACTAATTTTCACACCTGCGTTCCTGTCTAATGTGTTCTTCATCATTTCTCTCATGTGCTGTCAAAGTAGTTACAAAGCTCATCTTCTCTAGGTGAAAATTCTCCCACTCCTCCCTGCAGTCATTGAAGCTCTCCATGTAAAATGCAAATCTTACTATGCTAAACAGAAAATAACTTTCTTTTTAAAATAGAACATTCCTCATTTGGAGTGTGTTTTGTGTTTCCTTGAGATTACATTCAGGTTATATACTCTCAGCTGTGATACTGGATGGGTGATGTATCCTCAGGGTATCGCCTCTAGAGGCCTGATGCTCATCTTTCCCTTACTGGCAATGTTAACTTTGAACACTCTGGTAATTCAAAATACTTTCAAATTTACAGAAACGTTGCAGTCATGAAACAGTACAACAAATACCCATATGCCTTTCACGCAGTCACCTGTTGCTAACATTTTATCCCATTTGCTTTATCACTTGTTCTAACTACATAATTTTTTTTCTTAACTTTTTTATGGTAAGCGGCATAAATCATGGAGCTTTAAATACTTCAGTGTATATTTCTTAAGTGGATAGTCCATACAGATATAGTCGTATATAATCACAGTATAGTCAGCAATACCAATAAATTTAAATTTGATGTATTTCATCTAATCTGTCATTTGCATTTCAGTTTTCTCAGATAACTTATTAATGTCCTTTATGGCATTTTCTCTTCGAGTTTGGGATCCAGTCTAGGGATAGGTATTGCATTTAGTTGATTTGTCTCTGTAATCCCATTTAATCTAAAATATTTCCACAGCCTTTGTTATTTTTTTTCAAAATACAGTCTCTCTCCTTTTTACTAGTAGAGTGTTTCTTATTCTGAGTTTTCTGATGCATATTTGTGGCTAGATTCAGATCATGTATTCACAGCCAGAACGCTGCATAGATGATGATGTGTCCTTCTCAGGACATCATATGGAGGAACACTGTGTCCATCTACTTCAATGAACATTGGTTACCCTGTCAAGTTATTGTTCAATTTCTCCATGATGACATTACTATTTTTTTATTCTTCACAGAAGATAATTTAAGGCAATGTGGATATCCTTCTCTTCATCAGAAATTTCATATTTAGCAATTATTGATTCTTGCCCAATGCAATCTTTACTGTAATAGTTGCCAAATGATAATTTTCAACTCCCATACCTTCTCGAGATTTACAAGTTGGCTATCAGCATTCTACTGTATGCAACAGTCCTCCATCCTCCCTCATTCATTCACAAATAAATGAATGAATTGATAAGCATTTGGGTTCGTTCCACATTTTTGTAACTGTGAATCTTTTTATTATCAGTATGGACTCATGATTTTTTATTTTTCAATTGTTTATAGTTTATCACTATATTTAAGCATTTTGGTGCTCAAATTATCCCAGATTTGGCCAATGAAAACCCTTTCCAGCTAGCACTTTGGTAATTGTGACATGACTCCATCATTTTTTAAAAGTGCTTCCTTACTTTCCAGCATAACAAGCTGTTCTAGGCTCATCTTGTACCTACCCTATCTCATCCCTGGAATCAGCCATATCTCCAAAGACCCTTGATTCCTTTTAGTGGAGAATGGCATTAGAGATCAAGATTTGGGTTTTAGGTGTGATCATTACTACTTGAGTGTCTTTGATTCTTGACCCTTACAACAGACCTAGGAAATAGATATATGTACACCTATACATATACATATATAAAATACATATATAAATATACATCAAACATGCATACAAACACATACATACACATGTCTGCTTACATGTGTACATCACATGCATATACATAATTTAGGAATCATCAGTTCACACTGATACCTACAATTCCAGTGCATGCCCATGGGGTTCTTTCTTGCCTTCTCTCATGCCATAAATGGTTTTTTGTAGTTTTTGTTGTTGTAGTTGTTGTTTAGTATTTGATAGCACAACAGCATGACTACCATCAATAATCATTTATAATGTTTTTATTTTTTAAAAAATTGTATTTTCATAGGTTATTGGGAAACAGGTGGTATTTGGTTACATGAGTAAGTTCTTCAGTGGTGATATGTGAGATTTCAGTGCACCCATCACTTGAGCAGTATACACTGCACCCAATTTGTAGTCTTTTATCCCTCATCCCCTTCTCACCCTTTCCCCCTGATTCCCTGACGTCAACTGCATCTTTCTTATGCCTTTGTATTCTCATAGCTTAGCTTCATCATATGAGTGAGAATATATGATGTTTGGTTTTCCATTCCTGAGTTACTTCACTTAATAGTCTCCAGTCTCATCCAGACTGCTGTGAATGCCATTCATTCTTTCTTTTTATGGCTGAATAGTATTCCATCATATATATATATATATATATATATATATATATATATATATATATACACACACACACACACACACACATTTTTGCAATTGTTAATTGTGCTACTATAAACATGCATGTGCAAGTATCTTTTTCATATAATAGGTACAAATCCCAGTAGCGGGACTTCTTATGCTGTATTTGCACATTCCTTCTTCCATAGTTAGAACCTTTACTCCTTTCCACATCATTTACTTACTTAATCCTATAACTCATCTAAAGTTGTTTCAAAATTGCTTTGCCCATATTTCTATAAATTAAAAAAAGGGGGGGGGCTAAGAGTTTGGGATTTGTTTGCTACCCTTCTCCCCTTACCCGTCATGCCCAACCTTGGCCAAAATTGAGGGTATAAGGTCAAAATTGTCTTTGTAAGTTATATTTATTTACTCTTTCCTTCTCCTTCCATCCCTTCTTTTTTTTCTTTCACTATGGTTATCATATTTACTGAAGTAAGATTAGGTTTATTCTTTTCTTTCTACTTTTATGTTTTTCCTCCTTCCTTTTCTTATTGATTTAATTTTATTTGCTGAATATGTAGAACATTCACATTTTCCAAATTAAAAACTATTTTTCCTGCTTTAGCACACAAAAAGTAACATACCATATGCTCTTTGCTTTATTCACTTAATATTGTCTCCTGGAAATTACTCTCTATCAATTAACAGAGATCTCCTCATTCTTTTGTATAGCCATATATTACTCCATTGTGTGAATGGAGCTTTTAACTAGGCCTCTATGCTTAGATATGTAGGTAGCTCTTATACTTTGCAATTACAAGCAGTGCTGCATGAAATAACTTTGTGCATATGGTTTTTTAAATATTGTTGGGAGAATATATTCAGGGTAAATTCCTACAATTAGCATCCTTGTGTTGAAGGGTGAATGCACGATGTAATTTTAGCATGTGTTTTGAAATTCTCCTCCATAGGCACATATGCCATTTTACATTCCACCAAAAATGTATAAGAGAGCCTGTTTTCCTGCAGCCTCACCAACAGTGAATTGTCAAGCTTTTAAATGTTTGCCAATCTGATAGGCAAAAGTGTCAGTGTAGTTTTAATTTGCATTTTATGTATTATGAGTGAAATTGAACATTTTCTTACATGTGTAAAAGCCATTTTTAAATTTCTGTTATGAATCATCTATGTATTTTGCCCTTTTCACTATAATATTTTGTAGTTTCAATTTTTAAAAGTTCTTTATGAAGTAGATTTATCATCTATGATATGTCTTACAGTATTTTCTCCTAGTTTGTCATTTGTCTTTTGACTTGCTTTATGGTGTTTTTTGCCACTTAAAAGGTTTTTATTTTACGTAGTCAAGGTTATCAGTATTTTCTTAGATTGCATCAATATTTTTTAGTCACAATTAGAAAGCCCAAGTCTTACTATGTGATTTTTAAGAGCTTTGGATATATGCCAAAAACTAGCAATAGTACAAAGAACAAAAGCACTGCAATAGCAGCAAAGGCAAAATGCTTTGGAGCACTAAGTAGAGTTGCCAGATTAAACACAGACTGACTAGTTAAAAGGTGAGTATCAAATAAGTATTGAATAATTTTTAAAAATATTATATCCCCAATATTGCATGGAATATACTCATTAAATATTATTTGTTTTATTTCAAATTCAAATTTAACTGAATAACTTGTATTTTTATAAATCCAACAACCTTAGTCCCAGGGAAAGACAAACAAATCCCAGTTTGGGCTTATCGTGTGTTGTCCACTTACTTTCCTAAAAACAGATCAGTCCTCTTGACCTGGAACCCTTGCCACCCAAGTTGTCTCAGGGTCACTGATTCATCTGTGTTCCCACATCAGTCATATGATTTCTTGCCCATCACAAAAATAACAATTTTAGAGGTAAGGATATAGACAGAATGTAGTGCACAGGGCAGACTTCAGAATGTGACACACCTGGATTTTTATTCTAGCTGCATAATCTTGGGAAGTTTATTTATTGTACTTCAGCTCCAAATAATATCTACTGTACAGGACTTATATAATTAAGTGAATTAAATTGTGTTTACATATTATAAATGTTCCATAATTGTTTTCTATTATTACTTACTAAACTGATGTTTTAAGCAAATATAGTTAAGGTAGGTCTTTTCATCAGCAAAAAGGGGTATAAAGTCATAGCATCCTAATCTGTTAGTGAGTATACTCATTGCTCAGATAAGGAAACTAAAGTGCAACTCATCATATGACATTGGGACAGGGATCTTCAGCGATGCTGCTTCCTAGTACAAGAATCAGCCTCTGAGGAGAATTGCCTGAACCCAGGAGGCGGAGGTTGTGGTGAGCTGAGATCGCGCCATTGCACTCCAGCCTGGGTAACAAGAGCGAAACTCCGTCTCAAAAAAAAAAAAAAAAAGAATCAGCCTCTGGCCAACTTGGAATGGGATATGGCATTGAGAGGGAGTGAGATGGACACAGGACAGAGTAAGGGAATTGAGGGCAGGAATTAACTAAGACATCGGAACAGACAATGGGAGAGGCTGAGGGATAAAGAGGACAAAGGGTTAATTGATAAAGAAAATATACAGGGAAGAGTAAAAAACAAAAACCAAGTATGAATGTGAGAGAAGAAAGTAGTAAAATGCTTTTTAAAATGCCAGTTAGAGGATTAGCAGAGCAAGTGAGATAATGTAAATAAATGGTTGAACAAATAAGTGAATGAATAAGAAACCAGAGGAGTGAAGATGACTGTGGGGATGAGGAGGAATATTGCTTACATACTATAATTTATAGTTTTTACCTATAATTTTGATATTTAATCTTTACAGTAATTCTATGAGGTGAGCAGAATAGACATTTCCCCCATTTTATAGAATGAGGAATCACTTAGATCAGAGTGGATAAATCATTTGCCCAGGATTAAAGTGTAAATATGTGTAGAGCTAAAATGAGATCCCAGAGCTCCTAGTCACTTCCCACATAACACACACTTAGCCTTAAGAGCCTCAGGGACTGTAGTAAGAAGAATGAAGGGCAAAGGGTCTAGACAAACCCAGGGCTTCTAAAAAAACCAGGTGTTTGGTATGTTCCACACTGAGAGAGAGATACAGGCCAGCTCCACGGTAAGGACCAGAATTCAGGATATGAATTGTTTCAATTCCTTGTTAAAAAAAAAAAAAAAAGAAATTCCTTCAAGGAGGCATGGTCTTCCAGACTGTTGATTTCTGTTTGATCTAGCTGAGCCTCCACATTTTGTGACATGAACCATAAATTTGGTCTTAGTTCACTTCTCAAAACCTGCAGGCTACCCACTCATGACAGAAGCCAGCGTACAGTCTCTCATCCCCAGGCTCATCTTCCAGAGCTGAATCCATGTCCTTTGGATGGGACCAATGTATTAATTGGCAGACAAATGGAGGAAGTACAATTTTCCTATAACCATTGTGAATTCCTTCTTTGATGTTCGTTTACAGCTGCAGTGCATACAATTTCATCTGAATCAGATTAAACGCCGATAACCCTGGGAAGCCACAACACTGCTAGGGGAGAAAGATTTATACACACAATTCCTTTCCTCAGCAAGAAAAAAGTCAAGGTAGAAAAAAATCACCACCAAATCGGTAGCGCTTTCTTCCAAAAGTTTTCTGATGTCTTTTTAAGGTCATTCTATTTAGTCTCAGCCACATTCTTGTGTTCCTCATCACATATGTTTAGTAGAGTTTGTGTACCCCCAAAATTTTTTTGTTGAAATCCTAACCCCCAAGGAGATTATGTTAAGGAGGTTAGGGGGGACCTTTGGGTGGTCATGGTGTAGGCAGCATGGTGCGCAAAGCCCTCATGAATGGGCTTAGTGGTCCTCCTCATAAAAGAGACCCCTAAGAGCTGGCTAGTCCCTTCCACCATGTGAGAAAAGAGTGAGAAGCCTCTGTGAACTAGAGTGGGCCATCACCAGACACCAAATCTGCCAATGCCTTAATCTGAACTTCCAAGCTTCCAAACTGAGAAATAAATTTCTGTTGTTCGTAAGCTACCCAACTTACGGTATTTTGTTAAAGCAGATCAAATAGACTAAGAAAGTCCTTGATGATAATAGGAATACAGACATACCTCAGAAATATTATAGGTTCAGTTTCAAACCACAACAATAAAGTAAATATCTCAATAAAGTAAGTCACATGAACTTTTTGGTTTCTAAGTGCATATAAAAGTTATGTTTAAACTATATTGTAGTCTATTAAATGTGTAATAGCATTGAGTCTAAAAAAATGTATATACTTTAATTTTAAAACACTTTATTGCTTAAAAATGCTAACAATTATCTGACCCTTCAGAGAGTTGTCATCTTTTCTGCTGATACAGGGTCTTACCTTGATGTTGATGGCTGCTGATGGATCAGGGTGGTGGTCGCTGAACGGTGGGGTGGCTGTGGCAGTTTCTTAAAACAGCAATAAAGTTTGCCACATTGACTGACTCTTCCTTTCACAAAGATTTATCTGTAACATAAAATGCTGTTGAATAGCATTTTATCCACAGTAGAACTTCTTTCTAAATTGGAGGCAATCCTCTCAAACTCTGCAATTGCTTTATCAACTAAGTTTATGGAATATTCTAAATCTTTTGTGGCCATATCAACAACGTTCACAGCCTCTTAACCAGGAACAGATTCTATCTCAAGAAACCATTTTCTTTGCTCATTCATAAGGAGCAACTCCTCCCCATTTACGTTTTATGAGATTTCAGCAATTCAGTTGCATCTTCAGGCTCCACTTGTTCTTTTGCTCTTTCTACTACATCAGCAATTACTTACTCCACTGAAATATTGAACCACTTAAACTCATCATGAATGTTGGAATCCACATCTTCCAAACTCCTGTTAATATTGGTATTTTGACCTCCTCCCATGAATGATAAAGGTTCTTAATGTCATTGACAAAGTTGAATCCTTTCCAGAAGGTTTTAAATTTACTTTGCTCAGATCCATTAGAAGAATCACTATCTATGGCAGCTATAACTTTGAAATGTATCTCTTAAATAAGAAGATTTGAAGTCAAAATTGCTCCTTGATCCATGGGCTGAGGAATGGATGTTGTGTTAGCATGCATGAAAACAACATTCATTTTTTTGTTCATCCCTATAAGAGGCTCTTGGGTGACTAAGTGCATTGTCAATGAGCAATAACATTCACCATAACAGACATAATAATAATAAAAAAGATTGAAATAATGCACGAATTATAAAAATGTGATACAGAGCGCAAAATGAGCCCATGCTGTTGGAAAAAACCCTCCAACAGACTTGCCCAACACAGGATTACCACAAACTTTTAATTTATAGGGGGGAAAAGCAGTATCTGTGAAGTA